GGGGGGGGGGGGAGGGGAGCAGTTGCGTGAAAGGGAAAAAGATGGAAAAATCAGGTAGAGGAAAAATAAAGAGAGAATGAGGAAAAGCGCGCAGGCGCGCGAGTGAGCGCACACGCATTCGAGGAGCGGCGCGGACCAGCAGTGCGTGCGCACACACAAAAAATGTGCACGCGGCTTTGATTGATTTGATTATCCGCGGAAAATTGCGCCTCTTAAAAGTACGCGACGGGCGAAGGCGCGACGGAGCGACCTCCTCCCGTAGCCGGAGCCGGGCGGAGGCAGAGGCGGGTCGCGTGCGAGGGTATAGAGAGAGTACGACGTAAGCCCCACGACATTGTGCACGGGTTACGTGGTTCTGTCTGTGAGAATGGTGATTTACCTTGATTTACACGAGAAACGTGCGTGCGTACCGAAGAGCGGGCACGAATGGCGAAAAAAAAAGAGGGTATTATTTGTTCGCATCGGCAGACTTGAGAGCCTGTGTGTGTGTGTGTCCAGAGCAGTCCGTCTTGCACCGGGGGAGGGCACAAGCGACACAGGACACACTCGCAAAAAAAAGCAAGGAAGGGTAAGTCAGTAAGTTTTACTTGCAAAAATATACACAATGATAAGTAACAAATCAGCCAGTGATTCATGCTTCATAAAAACGTAGGTATCTATCTACTTAGAAAATTAATCAGTACAGGTCTGAGAGTGTAAAATTTGGGCCCCCGGATAGCCCTTGAAACCGTGCCCTAGTAATGAACTGTAGACAAACACTGTAAAAAGTACAATCGTGATTTTAAGCATTTTTCTTAGTTAATTTAATACGAAAACTTCGTTCCAAAGCTCTAAAAAAGTGTGAAATTTGTAAATATTTTGCGGCTAGTACGACATATATTTGTAACTTTACGAAATGTTTCGAAATAGTTTCATAAATTATATTTTACGAAGCATTTCGTAACTTTTTTTTTTGCGTAAAGTCACTAAAACCTTTCACTGCGAACTCTTTGCGCTAGTATGATGATTCGTGTCATTGGCCACGCAATCTGTCTATCTCTTTATCTCATCCTCTTTATTGTGTTGAACTTCCGCTTCACAGGTAGCATTGGTGCTGCACTGTACTGCTTTTAGTGGGCTCAGTACATTTTGTCTCTCGGAGGCAGAACGTTAGAGTTTAGAGCCGCTTAACTCTAACATTCTGGTGTTCTAAAGATGCTATTCAGACCCCTGGCTCTAGCACTATTGTGCAGCACGAGCATCAACAGTAAAGCCATCAACACTCTAGCCGTAAATTACATAATACGTAACGTGGATTGGGAATTCGGACTACGTTGTGAACCCAGTAGTGTGTTCACTGTGATGCGTTTTTTTAACGGTGATGCTTTACATTTCATTCCCGAATAGGGGCCTTACAGGATTGTCGTCGAACGCTTTTACATGTGTCAACCAGACAACCGCGTGCCTCCTTGGAGTTGGTATGTGCGCGCTAGTCACTTCAACCCACAGACACCAAAAGAACTGCAACGCGTGACCGGTAATTTTTGCACAACTACAGCTTTGGATGACAGCCTCTGGGTACGACATTATTTATGCTCGAGATAACCTATGTATTCCTATACAAAATCTGTTGTACCAGCTACTCTGTCAATTTAAATGTGTACATTGTACACTTTAATTAATGTGTACATGGGATGTGAACTTTTTATAAATGCAGACATGAGCATGTATACATTAATGTAAGTTCATATTTGACAGAGTACGTTCCATAGAACCCCGGTCGACGCCGATTGGCTGAGCGATAGCGAAGCCTATTGCTCTAGTGATCAAAAAGTTTTGCGTCTGTCTGCAATCACGATAACTCGAGAACGGGTTGAGCTACATGCGTGAAATTTTTGTTGTAACTTTGTATAATAAAAAGCAAGAACTGAATTGATTTTGAGCCCTCTAGCTCAAAAACTGTCTGAGAACGGGCCATTTGAAAATCTTTCGGAAGTTATTCCTACGCGTTTTAAAATATTTTTCGTGGTTTCTTCAGGGGTAACTCGTGAAAGTGGAACCCGAAGAACCAAAATTGCGTCTGTTTGGCCCGAGGATTGGCTCTATCTCTAACCGTTTGGGCGCTATAGGCAGTTTCTCCACACGGAAATGATCCCAAAACAAATATATGTTTTCTTAGTTATTTGATGGTATACTTTGGAGTAACTTGTCAAAATGTAACACTGTGGACCGAACTTTGCGACTTTTGAGGCCGAAGGCCTCTTTATACGACCCTAGGTTTTTGCCCGATTCGGGAGTCAGCGCCGCAGGCCAAGGTAGATGCACAAGGAAACATCTAACCTATAGGTACAGTAAAACTTGTCCCTCCCAATTTGGAGTGCACGGACCAAAATGTTCAGGCCAGGCAACCGAGTTTGGATTGTTCCGTTTATCTGTACACAGAATCAGTTTCGGTGTCAGCCTGAACCCTTTACATTCTCATTGGGTGACCATGCCTGAAAAATTTTGGGGCAGGTTTCTTTCATATTTGTCCACGTTTGGGTGTCCGACCTAAACTTTATGCCACGTGCAACGTGCACGCATCTTTATTAATTTTATCTTTACCATAAAACAGGGGAGAGCAAATATGGGCGTTCGGTCAAATAATCAATGGAAAGAAAACGCCTTTGTCGGCTATTTCAAAAACTCTGCTTGTCGTCACCTTCGAGAAAATATCCCTGGATTTTTCAACGCTGCTTTTAAGCAGAGTACACAAACCAAAGGAGTGTGCAGCATCAAACCAGTAAGTAATTAAAGTGCGAGTCTGCTTCACTATACTGTTGGTTATTTAAATGTTTGTTTTTAGTATGTCGAAAGTATATATTTATACGGCTTTAACCAAACCAAATCTGAATGAGAACTCTAATCAATTCTATTCGCAGGGCGTGTACGAGGTCAATGACTACCCCATAGATTGGACATTTCCAAAAATTCCAATCATGCCGTATGCACACTATCGGTTCAACGTCACCTTTGGCAAAGATGAAAACCTATACGGATGTTTTGTGGTAGAGAACAGGGTTATTCCTAAACTCGAGTAGCTATACACTGTTTATATTTTTACACGTTCTTTACTTCCATCACCACTTCTCTACACTGGAAAACGCAAGTGTGTGAATGTCGCTCACCTACAAGTAAGCGACATTCACACACTTGCGTTTCTAGTGATTGATTGTTGAAGAACGAGTATTGCTTGATTAGTGGTTAGTAAGGTGTTTTACGTTTTACGAAATAAAAGAAAAAAGATATGTGCATCAAGAATTTGTAATGTAACTTATTTCTCTTTAGAATAGGGTTTTACGAAGTTGGCGCGCAGTGCCGAAGGGCAAGGATTCAACACCCACTCGGGTCGGTTCTAATTCCTTCTTGTGGGCAGTAAAAGTCAGGTGGGACCAGTGGCGTATTAAGGGGGGGCGGACAGGGGGGGCGGTGCATCGAAAGTTGCCTACATACAGGGGTTTTGTAGGTCAAATTGCCTACCTTTAGGCGGCTATCTAGTGGCCCACAGGGGGGGGCGATCGCCCCCACCGCCCCTCCCCTTAATACGCCCCTGGGTGGGACGCACCCTAAACATGGAAATGGAACAACTGTGCAAAAATTTAACTTTTAACATATTTTAATTTTTTTTATGCCGCATTAGTTTTTACAGAGCTGACGCGATTATCTGCTATAGTAAACAACGCTTGGCTCTTGCAGACAGAGATTAGCTCTCGCAGCTGACGCATTGCTTGTCACGCTGACAGCTAACATATTAGCTATCACAGCTTAGTTATTTTTTTCCGTGAGGTAATTTGTGAATCTTACCAAACAATACCAGCATTTTGGGGCTTGGTAAGTTACCGGTAATTTACTGGTATTTTACCGAATCTTACCGGTAATATTGCCGGCCTTTAAATCCCTAGTAATAAGAAGAGTTGTGGCTTGAATAAAGGAGACCATATTTGCCACCTGAAACCGGGATCAGCATGAATGCTCGGCATCGTGCTCCGGTGGAAGGGCCTCGCTATATGAACGGCTCCGGGCGGATCATGAAAAAAGCCAAAAGAGGCCTCGTGGTTAGTCAAGTCAATAGGAATAGACGGTCGAAGCGCCATTCGTTGTCGGAGCACACACGCTGTTTGGTCACACAACGGAATGTGCAAACTACTCTGCAAAACTGTTGAATAAATCAGAAGAAGTAAATCATGTTTTTTCCCTTGAGCAGAGCGCGCGCTTGCAGGTGGAGGGCGCGCACGTGTCAGGTAGGTGGCGCGGGAATGGGCTGTGTCGCGTGTCGAGAGGAAAAGGGATGAGGATCTCCGGCAGCGGCACGGAGAAACGTAAGACGGGAGGGGAGCGAGCGCCGGTGGGGCGGCAGGGTGACAAAGAAAATAGACCTCCCGGGCGAGAACGGGCGTGAAATGGAGAGCAAGAAGAGGAGCTTGCAGAGTGCAAGAGGATAGGCGAGGGAAGCTTGCAGCAAAGGGGCGGGAGCCACACGACTGAAAAAAAACAACAACACTTGGCGGCGATAGAGGAGCGTCCGTCAACGCTCCTAGCGCCAGCAACCGATAGCATTTACAGCAAGAGTGAGACTCTGTCACACACCGAGAACAAGTGTGTAAATGTCGCACATGTTTGAAGGTTTGTGAACGCCCTTCGTACTACACATAGAAGCACAGTGTCAATTTCAACGGAAAATTAACACCTTACCTCCCTCAAGTGTACGAGTGGACATTCACACACTTTGCATTTTCAGTGCACATGCTTTTGGTGTAACTGAGTGCATTTGTTCGTGTGCCTTCCGCTGGTGTACAAGTAGTGCGCCGGCAAAGTGCCCTGAGCAGGAGACTGATTATCAGGCGCGCTGCGTGTGGAGCCTACTACTGCTCCGCCCCGCCCCCGGGATGGGAATGATGCCCGTCCGGGGGAGAAATATTAAGCCCAGCAGAGCCGGCTGGATGCTGGGCTGGACCATTGGCTCCGTTCATTATTCAGGACCGGAGACCTCGCCGACTCCATTTACCTCGCCGTCGGAGCCGAGGCCTAGCCCGGGCGCGGGCGGGTCCAACCGACGAGTCAAACATTAGGGTGTTGCCGGTAAAATGTGTTGTCGTGTCGCCGATAATTTTGTCTTTGTTGGTAAAATGTCATGTAATTGCTTTGTCGCTTCAGAAACTTTTTCCGCGAGAAAATCGTGTTCGAACGCGACCCTTAAATTAGTGAGTGCCGTCCCTAGCGGTGTACGCGACACCCCGGCGGGGTAGAACGCGGCGGGCGCGCGACCAAAATCCTCTCCGTTCGGCCTGCAAGCAGCAGCAGCAACCATGGAGGCGGTGGCTTAAGTAGGTAATGACTTGATACAAAAGCAGCAACAGCGCGGCGTGGCGTTGTTGGGGGAGGGAGGCGAGCAGGAGGGCTTGTCTTCCCTCTTCCTTCCGACCGGCGGCACCACGTCGTGCAAGTAGAAAGAGGGACGGAGACCACAACAGAGGGAGGGAGTGTGAGAGAGACCGACCGGCATCGAACCATTTGTACTAATTACCGCGAGGATTCCTGCTCCCCTCCCCCGCCGCACCCCAAGACTGTCTCCCCCTCAGCGCCGGTGCGACTTTCATACCCTGTTAGAAATAATTATATTCGGTGGTGCGGCCGGCGGCGCCGCGCGCCCCGCTCCTGTGAGCCCCGCACCACCGGCAAAGCCACATCGCCAACCAATTCTCCGCTCTCGCAGGCCTCCGAGGAGAACTTATCCCCACGTCGCCCCTTTGTGTGCTCTCCCTCCCCTCTCTCCCTCCTCCTTCTCCTCCTCTTCTCTTTTCGCACTCTCTCTCGCTCTAGCGCCTCCTCCGTGGATTGCCTCTATTCAGGACCCCCAATAAGCAGGACCATATGTGTGCTGAAGACGCGGCGCGAGCAAAGCGCGCATCAGAGAGGGAGCCGCGGGGAGCGTGGCGGGGGCGGGGAGCGTGGCGGAGCAGCAGCAGCAGCAGCAGCAGCAGCAGCAGCAGCAGCAGCAGGGGTGCGGCGTCTTCCTGCTCCCCTCCCTCGAGCCGGACCCGGAGGTACCGCACGGCCCGCTCATCGCCGCACAGTTAGTTGGTCTACGACGCGCTGCGCCCCGACGGTTAGGCAACCCATTCGGCACGCCCGTCGAACCTGCTGCCGTGGCGCGCGTCAGACCGGCTTAGCTAAACACGGCCCGGCGGCGCTCGGCGTCGGCTCCGCTCGGCTCGCCTCACCTCGGCCCGACTTCGGCACGGCAGGGCGTCGTCGACGCGTAATACGCGCGATAACCAGGTTAGGCCCCTAAGGGACGTACGACGTCCTCGCGGGGTGTCCTCCTTTACCCCCTTACTTCCCCACACCCTCCCCGCTCCTCTTCGCCTTCACCCACACCCCACCACACCCAGTCGGGGACTATAGCAGCGCTCTACGCGACCCACACTCTACTCACGACAGCATATGCTTATGCATGCATCATTTTGTTCAACATCTAAATTGTTTCACCTTGTCACTAATACAGTGTCAAGACGTCTCATTTTAAAATATTGTAGTAGTAGTTTGCCAAATTTCCGTTTACTAGTTTATTTTTGTTCGTTTGGAAATTGACAAAAGACAATTCATTAGAATATTCAATTGAAAATATGGATGTTTACATACACACTATACTTTTTAATAGATGTTACGTTGAAAACCCTTTGACTGAACATAAAGAATACACAAGTAACTTTAAGGTGTGAGGTATTCTTTAAAAAGGAAAAATACAACACTCCCATCCCATGTTCCACTGTGAAAATTAGTGTTACGCTAAAATTTTCCATGATAGGTGTCGTAAAACTACGATTTGAAATAAATGTAAATTTACAAGCACTTCGTACTCCGGGGTATCGACTTGGAATCGGTAAGCAAAATTGGGCTGTCGTAAGTATACAACAAATTTTTAAATAAACATAACAACAAATGTCGTAAATTTACGAAGTTATTTTTTACACTGATTTTACACTAGGTTGCAAATGTTGCAATCATGTGCGTGCGAGTGTACTCGCGAAATGCTGCTGCCGTGTAGAGTCTTGCTTGTCCGACGGAGTAGTGTCGTTGGCCGGGGCGTACGCCTTAACCCCCGCCGCCCGCCCACCGCACCCTGCCCGGCACCGCAAGGGCCATTGGAACGCCCAGCACTCTGGAGTGGCGCCAAACCGAACCGACGCCGCCGATCCACGCCACGCCACGCCCCGGACCTCAGTCGAATACCCGGCTACTTCGGTATATAGAAAACCCCCTCGCCCTCGACACTCGGCAGAGCTGCCGGAGATGAAACATCGACAGACGGCGAGACGCGACTATACACCTGCTTGAGAAAACGTGCCGAGGCGAGACGGCAGCAGCAGAGCGGCAAACAAACAAGTGACGAGTTTGCTTTGCATACTTACAGCAGACCTGTCTCTCTCTCCCACGCGTGTGGTATGCTTTCCTAAAAGCACCGACTGCGCCGGTGCCGCGCCCTGCCGTGCGGCCCTGGAGAAAGCAGGCACCTGAAAGGCGTCCGAAGGAGCCGCCCCGCCCCGCCCCGCCCCGCCGTGGGCCAGGCTAGCAGCGGCTCGGGTACGACGACGCGACGACGACGACGCCTGCTCAGAGCGAGACCCCCGTATCTCCGAGGCCACCGCCGCCCAGATGCGTGTCGCGCCGCCGGCGGGCAGGGGCTGGGCCTGCATGCTCCGGACAAGTGTCTCTGGCGGAGCTCCAGACACCCACAGCCCGCCCCGCCCCGCCAGGCCACGCCCCGCACGAGTCGACCCACCCGGGTCAGGACAAAGACGTGAACACGGTCAGGGCCGCGAGGCGACGCAGCGCTGCGCGGACGTTAGTCTTCGGCATGCGTATCCTGGAGTATATGTGGGCTCTGGCGTGGTGCATTGTGACCGGGGGGAAAGCAGCCCGCACACCGCGTGACCCCGCGACGCACACGCGGCGTGTGTGCAACGTGCGCGGGCCCTTTTGTTTTATTTAGAGGAGCATTCGCGGTGCGATAGAGACGGCGGAAAAGCACTGAGAAATTCTATTCATGCACCGTATAATCCTCGGTGTCTACTTTCCCAATCATCACTAGTGGCAAATTTTCGGGCGGAACGATAAAAACGGGGGTGTTTTGGTTTCCAAGGCAGTTGCCATAGACAGACAGACCTAGAGGCTTGTCTCTACCAAAAGGCCAGAGCGGGCGCTTTTGAAAAACAAAACAAAACACGA